ATATTAAAGAACAATAAATAAAAAGTAATTTATAGGGACAGAGTCATAAATCTACGGTCAGCAGTACCTACGTTCAACTAACTTTTCGTTAAACACGGTGTCCCAGAAAGTTGTTAACACACGGCCTTATAGAGTTTTCGTGGAGATCAGGCGAATACTTATATTACAACAACATTGTCCTCACATTGTAGGAAATCTCGCACATCATCAAGTGAACAAATGATGGCAATGTTCTTGTAATATATAGGCATTCAGACGGTTTCCACGAAAATTTTTACAAGACAGAATGAATACTTTTTTCGGAGACAGCCGCGAAGTCTGTGTGAACGCCATACATGGGCTCCTGACTGGCTGACTGACATATCACACTGCCTGACGTACGATCATTCATAATTACCACAAATATCCCCCGTTTAGTTTACAATTTTATACCATTAAAAAGATAATAAACTTTTATTATATAAATTCATTAGCTTTATCATAATATTTATAAGTAAAAGATAATATAAAGGATAACATGAAGATAAGTCAAGCCTTCCCAGTTTATTTTGCCTTTAAACTAACTTATTTTAATCTGACGTAAATAAACATAACCTAACTTAATTTAACATCATCTAACCTGTGGCACTGTAACAACTCCCTCAATATGAGAGTGACACTAATAACTCCATAATATGATACTGACACTAATAACTCCCTCAATATTAGTGACACTGTAATAACTCCACAATATAATAGTGACAATGTAATAACTCCCCCAATATTATAGTGACACTACAATAACTCCCTCAATATTATTGTGACTAATAAAACCCTCAATATTATAGTGACACTGTAATAACTCCACAATATGATAGTGAACCGGTAATAACTCCACAATATGATGGTGACACTGTAATAACTCCTTCAATATGAGAGTGACACTGTAATAACTCCCCCAATATCATAGTGACACTGTAATAACTCCTTCAATAGTATAGTGACACTAATAACTCATTCAATATGATAGTGACACTGTAATAACTCCACAATATGATAGTGACACTGTAATAACTTCACAATATGATAGTGACACTGTAATAACTTCACAATATGATAGTGACACTGTAATAACTTCACAATATGATAGTGACATTGTAATAACTCCCCCAATATTATAGTGACACTTATGACTAATAGTTCCAGTAGTATAGTGACACCAATAACGCCTTCAATATGAGTGACACTAATAACTCCACAATATGATAGTGACACTGTAATAACGCCCCCAATATTATAGTGACACTGTATTAACTCCCTCAATATGATAGTGACACTGTAATAACTCCTTCAATAGTATAGTGACACTAATAGCGCCTTCAATATAAGTGACACTAATAACTCCACAATATTATAGTGACACTGTAATATATATTATAGTGACACTGTAATAACTCCTTCAAAAGTATAGTGACACTAATAACGCCTTCAATATAATAGTGACACTAATAACTCCCCCAATATTATAGTGACACTGTAATAACTCCTTCAATAGTATAGTGACACTGTAATAACTCCTTCAAAATAATAGTGACACTAATAACGCCTTCAATATGATAGTGACACTATACCCCAATATTATAGTGACACTGTAATAACTCCTTCAATAGTATAGTGACACTAATAACGCCTTCAATATGAGTGACACTAATAACTCCACAATATTATTGTGATACTGTAATAACTCCCCCAATATTATAGTGACACTGTAGCAACTCCCTCAATATGATAGTGACACTGTAATAACTCCTTCAACATTATAGTGACACTGTAATAACTCCTTCAACATTATAGTGACACTGTAATAACTCCTTCAACATTATAGTGACACTGTAATAACTCCTTCAACATTATAGTGACACTGTAATAACTCCTTCAACATTATAGTGACACTGTAATAACTCCTTCAACATTATAGTGACACTGTAATAACTCCTTCAATAGTATAGTGACACTTTAATAACTCCTTCAATATGATAGTGACACCAATAACTCCACATATTATAGTGACATTGTAATTACTCCCTCAATATGATAGTGACACTGTAATAACTCCTTCAACATTATAGTGACACTGTAATAACTCCTTCAATATTATAGTGACACTTTAATAACTCCTTCAATATGATAGTGACACAAATAACTCCACAATATTATAGTGACACTGTAATTACTCCCTCAATATTAGTGACACTGTAATAACTCCCTCAATATGATAGTGACACTGTAATAACTCCCTTAATATGATAGTGACACTGCGATAACTCCCTCAATATGAAAGTGACGCAGTAACTCCCTCAATATGATAGTGACACTGATAACTCCACATTATGATCGTGACACAGTAATAACTTCCTCAATATGATAGTGACACTGTAATAACTTCCTCAATATGATAGTGACACTGTAATAACTCCCTCAATATGATCAGTGACACTGAAATAACTCCCTCAATATTATAGTGACACTGTAATAACTCCCTCAATATATAGTGACACTGTAATAACTCCCTCAATATGATAGTGACACTGTAATAACTCCCTCAATATGATCGTGACACTGTAATAACTCCCTAATATTATAGTGACACTGCAATAACTTCCTCAATATGATCGTGACACTGTAATAACTCCCTCAATATTATAGTGACACTGTAATAACTCCCTCAATATTATAGTGACACTGTAATAACTCCCTCAATATGATCGTGACACTGTAATAACTCCCTCAATATTATAGTGACACTGTAATAACTCCCTCAATATGATAGTGACACTGCAATAACTCCATCAATATGGTAGTGACATTGTAATAACTCCCTCAATATTATAGTGACACTGTAATAACTCCCTCAATATTATAGTGACACTGTAATAACTCCATCAATATGGTAGTGACACTGTAATAACTCCCTCAATATTATAGTGACACTGCAATAACTCCATCAATATGGTAGTGACATTGTAATAACTCCCTCAATATTATAGTGACACTGCAATAACTCCATCAATATGGTAGTGATACTGTAATAACTCCATCAATATTATAGTGACACTGTGATAACTCCCTCAATATTATAGTGACACTGCAATAACTCCATCAATATGGTAGTGACATTGTAATAACTCCCTCAATATTATAGTGACACTGTAATAACTCCCTCAATATTATAGTGACACTGTAATAACTCCCTCAATATGATAGTGACACTGTAATAACTCCCTCAATATTATAGTGACACTGTAATAACTCCTTCAATAGTATAGTGACACTAATAACTCCTCAATATTATAGTGACACTGTAATAACTCCCTCAATATGGTAGTGACATTGCAATAACTCCTCAATATTATAGTGACACGTAATAACTCCCTCAATATTATAGTGACACTGTAATAACTCCCTCAATATGGTAGTGACATTGCAATAACTCCTCAATATTATAGTGACACTGTAATAACTCCCTCAATATAGTGACACTGTAATAACTCCTTAATATGATAGTGACACTGTAATAACTCCTCAATATGAAAGTAACACTGTAATAACTCCTCAATATGATAGTGACACTGTAATAACTCCTCAATATGATAGTGACAGCTGATAACTCCCTCAATATAAGTAACATAATAACTCCCTCAATATGATAGTGACACTGTAATAATTCCCTTAAAATGATAGTGACACTGTAATAACTCCGTCAATATGATAGTGACACTGTAATAACTCCTCAATATGATAGTGACACTCGTAATAACTCCCTCAATATGATCGTGACACTGTAATAACTCCTCAATATGATCGTGACACTGTAATAACTCCCTCAATATGATCAGTGACACTGTAATAACTCCCTCAATATGATAGTGACACTGTGATAACTCCTCAATATTAGTGACACTGCAATAACTCCGTCAATATGATAGTGACACTGTGATAACTCCTCAATATTACAGTGACACTGTGATAACTCCTCAATATGATAGTGACACTGTAATAACTCCATCAATATGATAGTGACACTGTAATAACTCCATCAATATTATAGTGACATTGCAATAACTCCTCAATATTATAGTGACACTGCAATAACTCTCAATATGGTAGTGACATTGTAATAACTCCTCATATTATAGTGACACTGTAATAACTCCCTCAATATGGTAGTGACATTGTAATAACTCCTCAATATTATAGTGACACTGTAATAACTCCCTCAATATTACAGTGACACTGTAATAACTCCTTCAATATGATAGTGACACTGTAATAACTCCTTAATATGATAGTGACACTGTGATAACTCCCTCAATATTATAGTGACACTGTAATAACTCCTCAATATGGTAGTGACATTGCAATAACTCCTCTATTATAGTGACACTGTAATAACTCCCCTCAATATGATAGTGACACTGTAATAACTCCTTAATATGATAGTGACACTGTGATAACTCCTCAATATGAAAGTAACACTGTAATAAGCCTCAATATGATAGTGACACTGTGATAACTCCCTCAATATTATAGTGACACT